GAAACTATGCTTCAGTTATACTCAAGTTCCTGGGCTAAACACAAGGGAAAAGGTGAAATTCTCCAGCCAGGCTTGGACACAGGAAGTCACAGTAGGTGATCTAATGGTCCCTTTTGGCTGTAAATTTTTGAAAATATCTGATGTACAAACCACAGCGTTGGGAGACACAGCTCCAAAATGATCGGCTCCGGCAACTAGCACATGGCCAAGGTGCTGATGGCAGCCAACCATCTTCAAATTTCTCCAGCCCTGCTCTGCTCAAGCCTGAAGCCCGGATCCAGTCCCAGCTGTGTGTCAGGACGAACCATGCTTTTAAGGATGCTCTGGGATAGCCCTGTGGGACAGACCTGTCCCCAATATGTCTCTTACTAGGCCTAGATGCTCCTTAGCATTCGGCCTTATTCAACCTGCCACCATTATTCCACCCTCTCTGCATGCGATTGTAAGAGAGAAATGGCACGGCTATTTTTCGGTCAGATCAAACCTCTCCCAACGGGCAACATAAAGCACAGCAGGCTAGTACTGTAATTGCCAGTTAGTCCTGGCCAGAGGCCAGCTGAGCACAGCTCCAGAGCAGTCAGCCACCGGGCATTCAGGAACAGGATGGAAGACAATCGTTTCTAATCAATCTCGTCTTCTCATGAAATCAGAGCCCGTCCAAGCTGCTCTTGCAATGGCTGCCCTTTCTTTCTGCCGTGCTTTCTGCAACAGAAGGGGGAGAAATAAATGGGCGCAAGCATGTGTGTGTGTGTGTGTGTGTGCGCTGCAGAGTGCAATCGGGTAATGATTATGGCAGTGGGGGTCCAAGAAAAAGCCCCCCGAGCTGGCACTGCCCAATGCTCCCTGGCATTCATTCCACAGCAAGGATAAGGAGGCAGGGAAATTAAATGTTACGGTTCATGGTTCCCGCTCTTCTCCAGGATCAGAAAGGAAGGGAGAGGGAATCATAGAATCCTCGAATCCTAGGACACTAGAACTGGAAGGGACCTCAAGAGGTATCGACTCCAGTCGCCTGCCCTCATGGCAGGACCAAGCACTGTCTATATCATCCCTGACAGGCGTCTGTCCGACCTGCTCTTAAATCTCTCCAGAGATGGAGATTCCACAACCTCCCCAGGCAATTTACTCCAGGGTTTCACCACCCTGACAGGCAGGAAATGTTTCCTAATGTCCAACCTCAACCTCCCTTGCTGCAGTTTAAGCCCATTGCTGCTTGTCCTGCCCTCAGAGGCCAGGAAGAACAATTTTTCTCCCTCCCTCTTGTGATGCCCTTTTAGAAGAAGTTTCTTTGTGCCCATGTTTTATATCTGAGTGGGACACAGTTGGAGACGTGCACTCTGGTGCCATCCTTCCCCCCAGCAATGCTGAGGTTTGCTCACAGGGCAGGGTGCCTTGCGCACCAGACACTAGCTGCGGGGAACGACGACCCTTGGACAGCTGCGGCACAGAGGACAGACGCACGGGAGGACGAGGAGCAGATAAAGGAGGCAGAGGGCATGAGAAGGAGAAACAAAGCTTGTGGAAGTTGCTGCTGGCGTGTGAGTGGAGGGAGGGACCCATTTGGTCTGTTGCTGAAGCTAACAGGAGTCTGAGCAGTGTGTGTGGGGGTGGGGGAAGGGGACTCCAGGGAAGGGCAGGCTGGCTGCAGGGGAGGGAGATGAGGTGTAACCGGGGTTTGCCCCTGCCTTAGGAGAGGAGAGCACGGGGGGTGGGGGGGGGCGGTAATCCTAGGGCTTTATTGAAAACGGAACACTTCAATGCTCTCCCCTCACAAACAGTGCAACCCCCTCCCTCTCCCCCCGGGTCCTCTTGCTGTTGTTCCTGCAGAAGAAAGAAAAAAGTTGCAGGAAAAGATCCCAGACAGCGCCGGATGCATGGGTGCTATTTTTGTCAAGAGCCTCTTTAGCTGCCCTTGCCCTGTTTGTCACTGCGTCTGTCATGCAGGCAGAGCCCTACACAGACATCCCCTTCCCCCAGAGGTTACCATGTTCCTAGCAGGGTGGCTACAGCTCCCCTTCTAGCAGGCGGGCTCAGCAGAACAGCGGGCACAGTTAAGGAGATGGTTTGGGGTGATGTTTCACAGCTGGCTGGTGTTCACTGATTGCCCTGGCTGGGCATACCCTGAGACAATCTCAGTGTGGTTTCTGCTGTGAAGAAAGATCTTTAATTCCCAAGGCAGAGTTGCAGTGTTGGGAGTGGAGGGGGCTAGCTGAAGTCCCAGCAGGCCTCACGGCACCCAGGAGAAGGAAACAAAGGACCCAAGAAGAACAGAGGAAACGTCTTCTGCCCTGTTGTGCTAGGCAGATACGGGAGTTTGCTCCCCGGTAGGGATAGGCTGCAAGTCAGGAGTAGAGCAGTGACTGCCCCCACCCCCCCCAAAAAAAAGCCACACTAATTTTTAGGCTGAAATTTGATAATTAAGCGAATACCACAAGGCTTTGTCTTGGGCAAGCAGCATGAGGTAAACAGGAAGGAATGAGGGATTAAGACGTCTCTGGTCTAAAGGAAGGTGACGAGCGGAGAGCTCTGACACCTTCACTCTGCAGAAGAGAGAGGCCCAGATGTGGGTTTGCCTTGCGTTGCTACATTGTTCAATGGCATAAGGCAAATAAAAGCAAAGGGAAAAGAAAACAAGTTGTAAAATGCTCCGCAAAGCCCACGGTTCTTGAAACTGCCTCTTGACAGCTCTGGGGAGGGGCTGAGCTTTTGAAGTTCTCTTCTTAGTTTTCTTTTGTACTGGCCCTTGTTAAAAACAGCCACCCGGTTGACATTAGGTTGCATATGGCAGAGAGATCTAGCATCTCCTGGCAGATTCAATCATGGCATAACTGTCAGCAGAGAGGATTGCTTGGTATTTAGTGAAGACTGTAAGGCTGGGCTAATCCCTTCCACAGGCTGAGAAGGGCTGGCGTGAAAGAGGGGGAACTTGCATCCTAACGAGGATCTATAGACACAGTAAATTGTGAGGCTGTGGAACCCAAACCTCTCCAGAGATGGCAGAAAGGGGGGAGCTTTGAAGGAACTACTTCAAACCCTTACTTAGAGTGCACGCAAACTGAGCCCCACCTAACTATGGGGGGAGGGGAGTGGGGGGGAAGGTAAATTTGGTTCTGACACTTTAATAGTATTGGGAAAGAGGAGGCGGGTCTTCGAAATGAGCTGAATATTTACGTACTGGTGAACCGGATTCTACTCGTAGGGTTTGCTCGGTTTGCTCTCTTTATCAGTGAAAGAGAGAGATACACAGCCAAGGCTTCCATCCCCGCCCCTCCCCCTGCCCTTCAGGCAACAATTATTTAAACTGTGTTTGATAATAAACAAAAGTGTTTTTAATTAAGTATAAAAAGCATATGATGGCAAGTGAAAACAGACAGATCAAAGCAAGTTATTAATCTAAAATAAACAAAACGCGCCAGATTAAAAGCATGTTATTAATCTAAAATAAACAAAATTCTAATACACTAAGGGCGATAGTTATAAACATATTTCTTACCCTAGTCCTTATTCCAGATAAAATCCTTCAAACAGAGCCAATCTTTTCTCTGGCCTGGGTCTAACTGATTCTCGTGTCCTTAGAGTTCTTTGTTTTCTAGTTTCTTCTGTGTATCATCTTAGGATGGGTCAGGCAGTTTCAAAAGCCAGCTAAAGAGAACTGTTGATTGCTTCTCATTCCTTAAATAGAATTTCCCCAGGGCAAGAACCCTTTGTTTAACTGTCCCCATCCCAATGGAAAAATACCAAATTCAAGGTGGATTCCAGCACCCGTTGGCATGGTCAAATGTCTTTGCAGGACCAACCTCAGCTTGGATTTACAGGAAGGAAAACCCATTCACAGATCGTTACCTTGAGCACCGGGCCATTAAGCCCTTTAAGTACCACTAATTGGTTTCATTAGAAATTCTAGATTAATAAGCAGGTTTACACTTCATATTTCTAACTTCACATACAAGAATGACACATGCACACACACAGAATATACACATTTAAGGGATCACAGGCTCTTGAGTGATAGGTTATTGGCCTTCTTTTACATAAAGCATATCCAAGTTATGCATATTCATAAATATATTTCCATAAAAATATGGAGGTGTGTTGTCACAGGTCTAACCTTTGAGGTCGGGATAGCTCCTCCTGACGTGCTTCCCCACACTTTCCTCAGGAGTCTCCAATACTCAGCTTCAAATCTTTCTGGGTGTGTTGACATTGCAGTTAATACCCTGTAGCAAGCCCATGCCAGCTGACTCAGACGCACTGGGCTTGTGCTAAGAGGATGTTTAATTGTGGCAGAGATGCTCAGGCTTGAGCTGGAGCACGGGATCTAGGACCCTGCAAGGTGAGAGAGTCTCAGTTTGTAATTAAACTGTCCCTCTTGCCTGAGTCATCTGGCAAAACCAGCCGTGAGATTTTAATTGCGGGCTACACACACCCTCAGGCACTAAAACAATGAGGAGTCCTGTTGCACTTTACAGATTTAGTAGGGCAGATGCTTTCATGGGAAAAACCCACTTCATCAGATGTATTGGAATGGAAGTTACAGAAGCAGGAGTATATACTAGCCAGAGCTAGTTTCTCCAGTGGCTTGCTACCCTTCAGGCTGAGAAAACAACCCTTCCCATGGTATTCTGGCACCAGATAATGAACATAATAAATAGCTGTCTTTTTAAATTGAACATGCATGTTGCACCAAAGGGCCAACCAGGCTGGGTCCCATTGTTCTAGCTGCTGTACAGACACATGGTTAATGTCACTCAAGCCCCGAGGAGTTCGCTGTCTAGGAGCTGAACCATTGCCAGGTGTAAGTCTGGAGCAACACAACTGATTGGTTTTCACCACCAGCCTACATTTGGGCCATGGCCCACTGAGATCCTGGTTCCTCACGATCAGGGGTTGAATCAGTCAGTTGGAATCCAGAGACCGGGAGGGACCCAGCTCTGCACTGGCTCATGAGACTCGTGTACCACACGTGGCAACTTTTCTGCTTTTTGTTTCCTGTCTCCCAGCTTGTAACTGTAACCTTCATGCCCGGAGGTGTCGCTTTAACATGGAGCTCTACAAGCTTTCAGGCCGCAAGAGTGGAGGGGTCTGCCTAAACTGCCGGCACAACACAGCAGGACGCCACTGCCACTACTGTAAAGAGGGCTACTACCGAGATATGACCAAGCCGATCACCCATAGGAAAGCATGCAAAGGTATGTAGTGAAGGGGTGCCGAAGGTGATGGCTGGGATACTGAACAGACTGTTCCTGCCTCCTACTCCCATTTCCCTTCCTGTCTATCTCCATGGTTGTTTCTGTAGTTAGCCTGTTCCCACTCCACCCGCTCAAAGGCCAAACCACAAAAATATCTCTTCCTTCAGCCCCTTGTTTTCTCCTTCCTCGTCTCATTCTCCAGGCATATTCACCAGACCTACCAAGCCCTGCCTATTTAGACAAAGAATTTGAAGGCATCTTTGATCTCTCTTTGGAGGATGAAAGATTTTGCAGTGTATGTTTCAAGATGTTTTGGGCCATATTTTTAAAGAGATCTTACCCAAACTCCAAGCTGTGCTTGCCATTTAGATGGTACAGAGTCACAACTACCTGATCTGCGTGAACAAACATTTGAGTAGTGCAGATGTAGAGGGTGTTTCTGAAAAAGTGACACCTCAAATCTCATTCATGGGGGTGGGGGGAAGATCTTTTATTGCACCTGTCATAGCTTAACAGAGAAACACATGCACACATTCAGATATTCAGTGAGTTTGAGCAGCTATTCATAACACGTGTGACCAGGCAAGCAAAAACAAACAATGAAATAGAAAAGAAAACTCAGCCAAAGGAGAAGAAAGACAAAGGCGTTCACGGATTGCGATGGTTATTCAGATTAGCAAAGGGATCTCTCACATTAAAAACCAAAGCTCTGGTCCAGCCCTTCCCCCCGCCCAAACACACACCTTCTCACAGGTGTGCATACCAGCAAACAGTGGGCTCCATTCAACAGGCTTAGCACCAGGGAGGACAAAGGTCATCATACCTCTTACGAATACGCATATCTGCGGCACACACAACATAGAGCCGCGAGTATTGTGGAGAGAAAGGAAAAGAGAATATTTAATCCATGTACAAACAGCTTTGTTCGCTGGACAAAATAACAATAAAAAGAGAGGCCAGGGGCTCTATTACAGCTCAGTGAAGCAGGCAATAATTGTTTGGGCTTTTTTGATGTGATGTTGTATTTTTCCCTTTCATTGGAAATGGAACTACCTTAGTGATTGGGACTCGAGCTAGAACTCCGGGGGGTCCCTTGAGAGTGTAGGAGAATCTGTTGCATTAGCCTCTAAATTCCAGTACTCTGGAATTCCATAGACAAGGTGTCATTCCTGCCAGGCCTGCTCAAATGCCCTTGAATTGATTTTTTTGAACTATTTTCATTTGGAAATATTGAGATCAGTCCCTGCTGAAGGATGCGAAGGCAACTGTGTCCTTGGGTATGTGTGGGCAGAGGCGATGGGTGAGGGTGACTTACAGTGAATAACAGTAAGTCTTGGGGAGATACTCCCTTAAGAGTTCATGGTGAAAGGGGACAGGGACTGAGGGAGAATGGGTGTGTGTGAGGATCCATGGGCTTAGATGGGATTCTGACTCTGCAGGTGAGGTTCTTAGCAGCGCTGTCTACTTTCTGGGCTGTGTGCCTTGTACCAGCCTCGCGTAGGTGGTGGCGACATTAGCACTCTCACTATTGTTGAGTTGGGTTCCCCAACCAGCACCCCAACCCTTTCTAAATAGTGTGTATACAGGGTAAGGAAAGCTCAAAGCATGACATTGGGCCTGGTTTCAACTCTCAGCCAGGCTGGTGGGAGGAAGATGAATTTCATGCCTGAGATGTCCTGGTCACAAAACAAACATACCCACCTGACAAGAGCTAGTTAAGATGGCCGGTTGGAAAATTGATTTCTTTTTCACAGGACATTTTTTATCTTTTGAGGGAAAAATGTTTAAAAAAGAAAGCGTGACATGAAACTGAACATTTCTGGCCCAAAATGGAAAGTTTTAGGCTGAAAAGTCTTGGGTTTTCATTATTTCAATTCAAACTCCAAATGTTCTATGGAAAAGAAACCCTTTATATATAACACTTCTTTAAAGCAAAACCTCAATTTTCCCCCAAAAAATATTTTGATGGGAGATGTTGAAATAACCTGACCCCCTGGAATTGCTAGGACCTGTTTAACAAGTTTTGTTTTTAAGGGGGGGGAGGAGAACGGGGGTGGAACTAGTTGAGCCCCGGAGCTGAATGAGGGCAAACATTGAAAAAAACCCACCCTGACATCATGCCCGGGACACAGTGACACCAGGCAGGACAGAGAGAGCAGAACAAAAGTCCGTGTAGGATGCAGGGCCGCATTATGACTTTTGTGGGACCTAGGCACTTTTGCCTTCGTGGGTCCCTTCCTCCATTAAAAAAAAAATATTAACAATTATTTTTTATATAACTTTAAATACTTCAACATTTTATTTTTTTTCTGTTTTAGGCAAAATTTAATAGATTTTTGTGGGCCCTAAAAGTTTCATTTTTTTCTGATGTGAGAAAAAAATTAAAACATTTTCTTTGTCATTTTTTTTCTTCTGATTTTAAAAGAAATTAAAACATTTTCATGGGCCCCTAAAAGTATTGTGGCCCTGGGCACTGTGCCCCCTGTGCCTAATGGATAAGTCGGCCCAGGTAGGATGAGAGACCCACTTGCAAACACACACCTGAATATGTTAAACTTAAAAAACAAGAAATGCTTTGGTAGCACCTTATAGATGAAGAAAACATGCTGATGGTTTCATGAGCTTTCGTGGGCCCAGCTTTGTTGTTTTTTAAGTTTATCCCGTACAGACTAATTCACCTACCCCCTGAAGCACTTAGAAATGTGTCAAGCTGCTAACAGGTCCAGAGGGGAATAACTCACATGACTGGGAAGCATTATGCGGCACTCACTCCTGCTTTGCCCCAAAGCACGGAGGGGAGATGTTTTGTAATCCAGGTCACATTTCTAACTGCACGACCGGGTCCCACACCAAGTAATGGTGCATTGCCTTGCAAGAAAGGAAAGGAAATTCTGAACACATCTTTCATAATGAGAGCAGAGTGAAAGGGAAGCTGTCTGCTCTTGCTTGGCAGGATTTCTTGTGGACCATTTCTCATTATGTGGCTCACATGAACTCACGTCCTAAGTACCTGCTTCTAAGAGATTCAGATATTAACCAACCAGCCTGGCCTAGTCACCTTCAGCTGCTCTGACCATCTGTCTAATTTGCCAGGTTTTTTAACTCCCGTGTGCTGGAGGAGCGGGCTATGGGATTTGGTGTTTGCGGTGACACCTCTTGCTAATGATGGAAAACCTGATTGTCATTCAATACCCGCAATAGGCAGCAGATAAGTCCTGTGCATTTGTGGTTTTCCCTGCAATTGTCTGGTCCTTGCTCCTGACAGGCCCATGATTTGCTCACATGCTACTGATTCTGTCACAATGGCGCTTCTGTTCCTGTTTGCTCGCAGCGCCATTCCATCGGTAGGAGTTAATGCTAGCGCTGATGCAAGTCCACATCTAAGAGACTTGCCTTTTCAACACAGGCTTGTCATTTTCAGACAGTTACTGGGCCACAGATATATGCAAGTTTGTCTCTGGAAGCTGAGATTGTGGCCTTTTTAACTTGTTCTTTTTTTTTCAGGTGGAACATAATTTTTTTTTATTGCCTCTGGAAGAAACTGGATACAATTTTCCAAAGCACCTAAATCCCAGAGGAATGAAGGTTCCTAAGTGCCTTAGCTGATTTTGCCCTGGTGGATATTATGCCCACTGCTCAGTCCAACACACTGAGGCCATGGCTACACTAGGAAACTATTTCAAAATTAGTAAATTCGACTTAATTCCCAATTTAACAAATTTGAACTAGCGTGTCCACACTACGGGGAAGCCTTGAAATTAGTCCAAGGCAGGCTCTGTTAATATGGATGCGCTACCTCAGACTTAGAGCCCCAGGAAGCACTAGGGAATAATTAGTTTGAATTACTCTGGGGAGTAATTATTTGGAAATAGCGGCACCAGAGCATCCCCACTGCTGCTATTTTGAAATAACTATTTTGGAATGAGCGTTACTGCTGATGAAGAGCAGGAGTACAGATTTCAAATTCTGTGGCCCGTTATTTCGAAATAACAGGTTTGGTAGTGTGGACGCGCTGCTTATAAATGTGACCTTGGTGAGGATTATTTTGAAATAAAGTCCTAGTGCAGACGAGGGCTAAAGTGAGTGGAGAGGAACTGTTTTGGATTGGCTTTACCAACGGGGCCCAAGTGTCCTGGCTATTGGTGATGGAAGCAGAATGCATCCTTCCAATCTCCGGAAGGGTCCGCACTGCTCCAAATCCAGCTGTCACAATGTTAGGGGTCTAACTCCAATGCTGCTTCCAGCGAGGTCAATGGACATTTTGCCATGGACTTTGGTGATAGCAGGATTGGATTCCATTATGCAGGGAATGGGTTGCTCGTGTGAGCCCTGATGCGGGGAAGGAAAAATTTGATGCTGACTCCCGTGGGTACCCAGCTATCAGTGTTCTAATAGTTCTTCTTTACTGCTGACTATCCTTTCTCACAACCCAAAGGGAGTTGGGCATAGAGAAAACTAGCCAGGAAAGCTGCCTTATCTTTTCATCCCCCGGAGGTGTACCGCCCTCTCGCAAATTCATGTAAGGAGCAGTTTTCCACCACCACGGCTGTACCTATTCTCCCCTCCACAGGCACAAAACGTACAATTCATCCCTGTAAAAAGAGACAGCACAAGCCCCAGGCAGCACCAGCCTGGTGGTACATACACAGGGTGCTAGCGCTTAGCACAAACATGAAGTTCACCCTGCGGGAGGCAGTATGGTCTTGTGGTTAAGCCACAGGATTAAGGAGACTGGAGCTCTAGTTGTAACTTCTGAACAGTGACGTAACCCCTCTGTGCCTCAGTTTCCCCATGGGAATAGTGCTTACTCACCTTTGTGAAACACTCTGCAACCCTAATTAATTCTACTAAATTCACTTTGAAATGAATGTATCTGTTCTTTGAATAGCTCCTGTTCTTGAAATTAGAGATCAGCCAATTTAAATACTTCTCCCCATCCTCCGTATTTTCTAACAAAACCCTGGCTATTGGAGCGAATAGATTCAAAGGTATGTAATAAA